CAACAAATGGGATCATATTAAATTAAAAAGCTTCTGCACAGGAAAGGAAACAGCAAAGTGAAGAGAAAACCTAGAGTAGGAAAAAAATTTTGCCAACTATTGCTCAGACAGAGAACTAATATCTAGAGTATATAAAGAACTCCAAAAAAGTCACACTTCCCTCCAAAGGAAAAAACCCAACAAAAAATGGGCAACTAAAATGAATAGACGCTTCTCAGAAGAAGAAATACAAATAGCCAACAAATACAAGAAGAAATGCTCAACATCGGGGGTCACTGGAGAAATGCAAATTTAAACAGCACTGGGATTCCACCTTACCCCATAAAGAAAGGCCATCATCAAGAAGTCAAATAACAAATGCGGGCAAAGCTGCAGGAAAAAAGGAACCCTTTTACATTGTTGATAAGAATGCAAATTAGCATAACTGCTATGGAAATCAGTATAGAGATTCCCTAAAAAAACTAAAGACAGAAATTCCAACTGACCCCGGTTATTACAGTGTAATGATACACAAATACGCATGTTTATAGCTGCACAATTCATAACGGCTAAATCTTGGAAGGGGTCTAACATGTTCATCACCAGATGAATAAAGAAAATGTTTCCACACAATAAAGTGCTAGTCTGCCATAAAAAAGGATAAACTTGAGTCATTTGTATGAAAATAGAGCACCTCAAGGCCATAATGTTAAATAAATGAGACACACACACAAGCTTAGACATCACATGGTTTCTCGTTTATGAGAAGACCAAAATATAAATAAAAAGCAAAATAAAAGAAAACAGGGAGTAGACATACAGATCTTTTCCAAGTGGGAGGGGGAGCAAGAGATGGAGGAAGGGAAAGAGGATGAAAAAAAGAATTGCCATGTGTTATGTACATGGAATGTGACTGGAAAAATATTATTTGACATGGTGGGATCCTGAGATAAATGTGGGTTTCCTAGAGACCTGACACTCATCACACTTTAATTTATACTAAATTGTAGAAGGACAAAATTGAGACTTGTATAAGAAATGTGACCTTGGGTGGTTTCAGGCTACAGGAAGGGATACCAACAGCAGGACTATAGAAACAGTTCATGGAGGAACTGGTTCAGAGTCAAAATCATATATACAGAATTATAACAGAATTCTAAGAATTAGATGGGACTTATGAGACCTATAAGGTCACAGACACACTAGGGGGAAGTGAGGCATAGATCTAATTGGTCTTTAGGTAAAGATCTCAGGATATTGAGCTCTTTAGTAAGGTTTTAAGATTTCTGGCTCTACTTTTACTGATGTTTGCATTTTCTTGGCACTAGGTACACCTGTCCTAATAAGTTATGTGCTGAGAAACTATATCCTTGTGTTTATCATAGCTATGTCTAAATTAAGAAAGAGTACCTTAGAAACTCACAAGTAAAGTGCATGACTTCTATAGCATATATTTTACAACACCTATTCTGACTCTTAAAACACATTTTGGCTTACATCTTGCTTTTGTTCCCAGTATCTGGATCTAGGACTTCTAGAAAAATAAGGTCTTAATGAGCATATAGGAGCCTTTCTCCTATTATATTTTTTAACAATGATTTTCTACATGTGATGTACATTGCATGTAATTTCCCCCCAGTATAATTTTTCTACCTTACAATGGCTAATCATTAGAACATTTTATTTAGAAGGGCAATGATTAATTTACTCCTGATGATATCCTTTCTTCCTAAGACCAACTTTGATCAAACCTGGTCAAAGTTATCAGGAACACAGTCTTAGGAACTGCTGCTTTCTGGAACATGAAAAACTAAATTTATTATCTGTTGACTTTAATATGTTTCTTGAGCTTTGTCATCTGAGAGGGTAAGCTCTGGGAAATATAGATTTCTCTCTCAGGTTCATGGACACTCTTTCAAAAAGGGAACGGGTTTCTCTGTGACTTCTGGAAAGACAGATGAGGGAATTCCTAGAAAATGTGGCTAAGGCAGCACTGTGACAGTTCTGCTTTCCAGAGTAAGACCAAGTTTAAAAGAAATTAAGGAGATGTTATGATTATGGAAGAAAAATTTTCTGAGGTCTGTTCAATTTCACTACTAAAAATTATGGCAGTTCCATTTCAATACCTATGTGTCTATCACTAACATCTATAGAAAATGACATTAAGATGCGAAATACCAGCCACCCCTGATTTTCTCACCTTCTTGTCCTCCCACTTGATGTGCCTCGTAAATTCCACTCTGGGGAAGACACACCACCCCCTCCTCCACTCTAGCTCTTAGACTGATGAAAGTTACTGACCAAAGTATGTGTTCATTCGACTACATGAAATTTTGTTTCCTACATCCCTGTGGTTTAATTTTTATTCGCTCTCTCCCATCACTTCTTCTCCAGAAAAACAAATCTTTCTTTTCCTTTCAGTCCTCTGTGCCTTTGGCTTCCCTTTCTCCTGCTTATTTCAAGTTCATGACCCTATAATTCCTCCTTTTTCTTATTTTCAACTATTTCTTCTCCATGGATCTTTCTCCCATCTTGCAAACCTGATCATTTTACCTTATCCTTAAAGCAAACAGAAAAGATCAAGAAGAGTATCATTCTCCTTCTAATCTTATTTCTTGAAACTGCCATCAATATTTTTCCCCTACACCAACCCATTGTTTTTATTTTCCTTAATTTTTTTCCCTGAAAAGTGTCCTGTCCTTTACCGCCTCGCTTCCACAACCGTGTGACCCTGCTGAATTGCTGCAACCCTGGCCTAAGCACTCAGCATCTTAATGGACCAATTCACGGAAGGGCTGTTCATCACCTCCCAGGAGTCAGAACGCCTCGACCCATTTTCAGGCTGCATTCTTTTTGGTATTTTTACAATTACTATGCAGAACTGTTAATGACCATCCTTCTGGAAATTTCTCAGTCTATGATGTTGAGCTCTCCTGGTTTTCTTCCTGATGGTCATCGTTTTCCCAGTTTCCTCTTGCTTTCCCCCTCTGCATGTGCCAGTTTACATTCCCGAAGACTGTGCTTCGCTTCTTAGTGTACAGCTCATCACTCCGTAATTCCTGACTGGACTTCAGTAGTCTCCATTTCTGTTGTCTATTCTCTTTTTTTTTTAAGAGTAGGAAGAATTTATTAAAAGAAAGAAAGTTTCTGTCTGAGAGGGACAGAAGAGGGCCCAGAAAACGGGTTGCCTGCCAACCCCGCTTCTCAAGGGTGTTTATGGAGCAAAGCCACAAGGTGAGGCGGGCTTAAGGTGGAACAGAACTATCATCAATCAATAAGATTACAAGTATAGTCATTTAGGTAATATTAATCCAATGGCAAATCACAGGATGGGTGTGAAGTAGGACAAAACTATGGTCAACCAGTAAGTATACAAGTATAATCGCTAGGGTAATATTGATTAAATGGGGATCAAACTGTTCAATTCTTTTAAGTCAGTCCTTCTTCTATCACTCCTCTAAATGATTTACAGGTAGGATATTATGGGTATATCTAGATGTGCCCCCACCCCCAAGCCTCATGTGTTCGTAGGTGAGGCTTTGGTAAGAGGCTTGGCTCATGGGGTTGTCATACCTGTCAGTGGATTCATCCACTGATCACTTTATAGCTTAATGTGATTTACACAAATTGCCTATTTAGATGTCAAACTCAGTTTGTTCAAAGTAAACTTAGGATTTCTTCTCAAGTCCTTTTCTTTTAGGAATTCCTGAACAATACCCTCCTCCATCCAGGTGTGTGAGACAAACCAAGAAGTCAAAGGAAAAAAAAAAATCATGCTTGATGCCTTCCCTCTCTTTTACCCAGTATCCATTCACTACCAACATTCAATGTATTTTACCCTCTAAATATCTTCCAGAGTAGTCTATTCCTCTTCTTTTATGTTACCTGTTTTAATGCAGATGAGTAAGAATTCATCTAAAATCCTAGTAAATATGCATATTTCATGTATACCCCCCACATACATAAATATAAAATTTAAAAAACAATATCAGACTTCTAATGGTCTCAGTGTACCTGGAATACAGCCCTAAATACCAAAATAAGGGTTAAACAAAAGTCTTAACAATGAGGAAGGGGATTTAGCTCAGTGGCAAAGTGCCTTCCTGGCAAGCGCAAGGTCGTGAGTTCGATTCCTGGTACCGGAAGAAAAAAGAAAAAAAAACAAAACAATGAGGAAAACTACGATTACAAAGCTATTATGAGCATGAAAGTATTGTTAACCATTTCTAATCTATTCTGATTGATGGACAGGCAAAATAAGTATAATTTACTTATATAACAAATCTGAACAATGGGTTCCACACTTGGGATGGACACAAATGGTTTCTGAGGCTAGCACTGCTTAAATGTCCAAAATCCAAGTGGTATTTACAATAATGACTCAATAGTATAAGCACACGTTTTGCTTGGTGAAGCCTGCTTTTTATGGGAAGATGTTTATAGTTTAGCAAGGTTTTTATACAGAAGAGCATAAAATATTTCAAAGTTCTAGGTATTTATCCTCAATGACTCACTTTTGGAAGGGGGTAAATAAATGAGGTATTACTTCACATTATCACATAAATATTGGCACTGTCTCTACAGATGGCAGGATGTACAGTTTCCTTTGAAGGATTATACATGATCCATATGTAATAAAATAAATCAGTTCACATTATGGTCTGTACTGCCAGCAATTAAGCAGTAAAAATACTTTGGTCAAAACCAAAAGAGATTACTTGAAATTTTTCTGAAGAAAATAGAGAGAAAAATAACTCTATCCCTGGAATATTATTTTAGCACTATGCTCCAATGATATAACATGCCTATCTCTGCCTTTTAATAGCATAAATCAAGACTGTCATACTCATGACAAATTGCTCACAGAAAGGTAACTGTGGCCAGACAGACACAATAATAAAATCCACCCAAGTCCCTAAACTATTGAGTTCTGTGAGGAATCACTCACACACACAGGGTGAAGCACAGGAGGGTCTGAGCAATTTTCTGAAAGTGACTCCACAAGCTCATGGTGACAGTACCTGCCGTGGGGGAGTTTGCATGGTGCGACTTCTTGGGCAGGTTGAAGATCTGTTCGCCAGGGTCAGGGGGAGGAATCGCATCTTGGCCTTGTCGCGCCTCAACTGGATCATACTCCTTCCCATCATAGTTTGCATCATAGAATTTCTTAAACCACTGAATAAAATCCAGGTTGTCCTGGAAACGTCCTTTCACTAGCTTCTCCACCGGAATTACCTACGACAAAAAATCACCATGTGAGTCAAGAACCCCAGATTGGCTGTTATTTAGTACAACTGAAGTGTTCCCTACATGTGAGTATTTCCTACTTACCTACACTTCATGGCCACCGATTTCTCCCCAGCTGCTTACCCAGCTGTATAATTAATGTAATTTTTCATCATGTTAAAGAAAAACTTACCCAAAACATCTCCTGTAATATCTAATACCTTTGAGGAAACTAGACAAAGAAGAAATAACGTTCGCTGTCAAGAGGGGCTGGTCTTCCCTTATAGGATCTTGATTGTCAGGGAATTGCTCCACAAAAACACGGGCTTGGGCTGTTGTGCTGTCTCAAGACTGATGAGCCTTCCTATGTTTCTTTGTAACATTTCGTCCAGTTGTATGTGATACTTTTTAAAAATTAGTATGTGTTTGCAGTACACAATACTCACATGCATTATGGGAAGTTTGTACATGTACATAACACATTTGGATTCTTTTTTCCCTTTGTCTTCATCTCTTGGTCCCCTTCCTTACTGCAAAAAATCTATCTCCCTGTTTCCTATTATCTATCTCTTATTTTGCTTTATATTTATAATTGGGGTTTCTTACATAAGAGAAACCATGTGATATTTAAGTTTGTATGTCTGATTTATTTCACTTAACATTATGGTCTCAAGATACATCCATTTTCCTACAAATGACTCAAGTTTATGGGATAAACTCTTAAAAGGATTACAGCTAATAGAGAGTACAAATGAAAAAACTCAAGTAAAGAATGGATACCAATCTAGTGGTTCACATTAAACAAAATGAGTTTTCTCACTTATAATGCAGAGAGACTAGTATGTAAAAGTCTAACCACAATACCCTGTAAAAACCCTGTAATCCATGGGTTCCTGAGGACCGTAAGCAACACACCATCAGAGAGCAGAGGAAGAGGTGGCGGCCCCTGGAGGAGGAGGTGCACAGCATTCTTGTCAGCTTCCAAGAGAGGAAGCTCAGCTTTTCATGCAGCAACCTTTCCTGCCACAACCTAAAGAGTCAACCAGTGCTCCCTATACTGCCCTTCAAGGGACTTTTGGAATTATAACGAGGAAAAAACAGAGTTTGATCGCTTAGCTCTAATTCAGTGGGTCACTGTTTTTTTAAGGGCAATGGAAAGGTACTGAGCCCTCTGAACTGTACCTTTGCAGATTTTACTTCCTATATCTCTGGGCAGGAGTACTAAGTGAATGGGAACAATGACAGAGGGACAAAACTAAGAGGTGAGTCAGACTGTGTGTGTTTACATGTGATTTCGACAGAATTAGGGTTCAAAGCACATGGGTTGATTGTGTAACAATATAAATGGAAACTAAAGAAACTTACAGCAGGGCTTTGTCTCCTCAGGAGCTACATGCCATCCATATTCTAAAATGTATCAATAAGACATTAAAAAATACTGAAAGACCTTAAATATCAATGAGAGTTTGAAAGGGCAAAGTGACTGATGCATTTTCGGCCACCCATTAAACTAAGTTATTAGTAATAAAATTCTCAAAAGTGCTTTCTTGACAGCTGAAACAGAAACTGAACCAAATACAGGACAAAATAAACAGAAGCAAACTGTCAAGAGAACACATTTGTCATGAAGGCTTTTCTGATACTTGACACTTTGGCGCTGATATTTCCATTTTCTCACTTCCCTTTAACTCTCATGGGAAAGAATTCTTGCTACACATACAGTGAAATAATTTTTCATTGTACTGGTTACTTTTATGTCTTTAGAGCTTTAAACTTTTATGTGGTCACTGATTAGAAAATGACTTCTTAGAAAACATGGTCCTTTAATGAACATACACTATTGTACCTTGTCTACTACCAGACTGTAAGAATTTAGAGTTTTAGATAATGGTGGTACCTTACCCATTAAAATAAGGTTCTTATTTATGTTGACTTGCTCTTGCATTCTGTCAAAATGAAAGTTTCAGAAGTGTAAGTTCAAAATCTGAGCAGGCAAGCAAAACTCTGCACAAAACCTTCTCAGATATTGTTGGGCTATGACAGACACAACAGATACATAATACCATCTCTCACAGGACCTCTGGGTACAAACATAGCTTAGTAAAGCTACAGAGGCTAACAAAGGCCATAAATATCATGCCACTGCAAGAATTTTCTTCAGTATTAACAACTTTATCCATTCTGTATGTGCTTACTTCTAGAAACATGGAGCCCATTAGTTTGATAATTTGTTTTCCTGTTGTAGAACTATGAATAGAAAAACGAACAAAAAAGACACAAGTGAAACTGTTAACTTATTAAAGGAAGGAGAACTCGTACAGTTCTACTTCTGAAAATATACAGAAGACCTAATTGGAAGTTAGCCACAGCAAAAAGACATGAAGTTGAAAAGGATCTGAAAGGTTAAAATGTTAAAGATAATGTATATTTTGAAATAAAAATTTTGAGAAAATGAGAAGCTGGATTTTCTTAAGAGTTTGATAAGAATGTTTTTACTTAAGAAGACATTACTTGTATTAAGTTTTTTTTGTTGTTGTTGTTTTTTTTCTGGTACCAGGAATTGAACTCACGACCTTGCACTTGCCAGGCAGGCGCTGTGACACTGAGCTAAATCCCCAGCCCCTTGTATTAAGTTTTAAAAATATGTAATTTCTCAAACTCCTAAACTTAACCTCAATGTGTTATAATCCAGTATTTATCTTCTATTGCTCTGGCCTATTTATTACTATTATTTATTCAAATAAAAGTTTTCCATTATTCAAAATTCATTTCTTAGCCTGGTATGGTGGCACACAGCTATAATCCTAGCACTTGGGAGGCTGAGGCAGGAGGACTGCTTCCAGTTAGAGGCCAGCCTGGGCTACACAGCAAGACTCTGTCTTAAAAAAAAACCAAAAAACACAACAAACAAAAAAAATTCATTTCTTTCCAAGTTTAATCATTCTAAGAGACTTCTCGTAACTGAGAAATAGGAACATAAATATGTATTTTACTAGTAGTAAATACACAGAAAGAAACTAAGTAGATTTAAGCAACAGCTCTTCACTGGAGCAAAATGCACTCTAGTACCTAACTGCATTGGTATCACTCTACCACAAAATTATAATATTTAAAGGGGAGAAGGGGGCAACGTATGGCCACTGAGAATATGAGGACATATACAATGCTGGGCACTTTTACACGTATTTCCTTATTTCATCTTCATAACCACAGGTAAGAGGTGTCCGTCCCATATTTACAGATGGGTGAGCTTAGACCCAACGACTTTAAGTAACTTGCTGAAGTCATGGATTCAAACTGATGCTATTTCCACTATAATGTGTTGTTTTTCCAAAGAAACAAAATACACAAAGAAACTACAGAGGCATCTGGAAAACATAAAAATTTCTCATCTGCAGTGCTAAAACACAACAACAACATCTTACTGGTTTTGACTCCTGTTATAGTTTCCAGCCTAATGGCTGCAAGTTTAGACAATCTTTTGAAATATAAACTCATACAAATACGGGAAGTAGGGCTGATGCTTTATGCTGTGTATAGATCCCCACTTGTTAAGATATCAACAAATATCCTACTGATAGGTTCCTAGGTTTTTGCACTCTGTTCAAAAACAATTGTAATGAAAGGATGCATTTTATGGAGGTACAAATGAGTCAGTCACCTACCTTATCGACGTTCATTCGCTTAAATGATGCTTGCAGAAGTTTAAAATTGTGAATATACTCATGCTCCAACTTTGCCTGAAATTTTACTTTCTTCAAACTAATGCAGCCTGGAAAGAGCATGTCCATGAACTGGCAATAGGCCGCTCCTAGGAAGACAGAAGAGTACGTGTGTGAGTCTTGCTCAACCCACATGTGACTGAGGACTGCGAGGCACGAAAGAGCTCGTGGTTACAGACACTATCATTCACAGCAGAGCCGGCCTGGTTGTGTGCCTCCCTGTAATCACTGCACGTACACCTCTTGTCCACAGGAGCTAGGTGCTGGAGGGAAGGGACCCTGTCTCCGAAGCAGCACTTGTCTCTTCCCCACTGCGGGCCACTGTGGACTGCGCGGCATGCATCACAGTACCACCAGGTTCCACTACTGACCAGCGTCTTGGCAGAAGCTCATCTGCTGATGCCAAGAAAACCAGGTAAGGATAATTCTTCCTAACTTCTACCACAGAAAAGGAACATACTGTTTTCCTCATCTAGATACTACCATATTTGCACCATGTTGTCAATAGAAATGCATTTAAGAAGAAAAAGAACAGAAATATAAACATGAGCTACAAAAGTTCACAGGAAATGTATAGCTCAAAATATATACATATGCTCAAGACATTCCCTATCCATCTTGCAAAATAACAGGTAAAAACTGTATCACTAAGCTGTCTAACACCAAACACAGTTGCACACCAATGTAACTGTGGTCTGGAGCAATGGGGTTCCCATATTAACATATAGGATGAAGACAGGGACACTGCGACACTTACTAAAGTTCAGTCATGTTGTTCATGACTGAGAAACATGACAGAAATGCTCAATGAGTCCCCCTGAGGAAATGGTCATAAGAGAAGGTGTTTTTTCCCGTTTGAAGAATAATTTCTTGAAAATCATGGTGTTTCGTAAAAGAAATCAAAGCCAGAATTCTTTTTGAACAAGAAAAGTAACTGAGCAGCAAGAATGGAAACCGGCAGCCATTTTAAAACTGTTTGCTGTCTTCAGATCTCTTGGTCTGTTTCTAGAATGTGCAATGATCAGTTTTTCTGGAACACAAAGGGCCTCCCTGGTCCTTTAGCATTAAGGCTTCCATGAGGAGCCTTTCCTTGCATGTGGGCAAGGCATCTTTAGATGGGAAGGGCCCACTCTGTCTTATGCAAACAGGTGTGGGACATCCTTTACTGAGGCAGGAATCCCAGCTAAGAGGGAACAAAAACCCCAGGGATGAAAGTGTTGTAGAACAGAAAATATTGAGGGAACTCGTTTCATAGGGAAGGGCAGAAAGTGAGGAAATATGGACTATGATAAACTCTCCAGAGTCCCTACATCTGGCTTCCACTTAAAAGCTAATACCCTAAATACCAGCTAGTGAGTTCCTCATCAAGGTGGAGGTCTCTTAAAAACAAGACAAAATATATCAAACCAAAACCAAAAGCATTGTGTGTGTGTGGGAGTGGGAGGTGGGTGTTTAGAAAACTATCATGATATGGGGGGCATTCTTCGTCTTTTTTTTTTGGGTACTGGGAATCGAACTCAGGACCTTGTGATTGCCAGGCAGGCATTTGTGCTGCTGAGCTATATCCCCGGCCTCAAGGGGGGGCATTCTTATAGTCATCCTTCAATCATTTAGTTTTTTTTGAAGTACCACAGAATGTAGTAAATTCCAACAGCTACCTTAACATTATTTTTACATAGCATTGTCTTATTACCTGCTCTGTAGATTTATTTTCACTTTGCAAAGTTCAGCATAAAATTTACTCAGGGAGACCCAGACACTACTCATAAACCAACCAACTCAATCACTTACATTTAAACAGAAATAAGTTTGGGGAAAAAAACCTCTTCCATTCAGAGAGAGAACAAAGACAAAAATCACCTTTAGTGTCACTATCCAAGGATAACCACTAATTACATTCTGGTATATGCCATTTTAATCCTTTCCTTTTTGGGGCGTATATTTGTTTTTCTTAAAAAGGTAAAAATAAAAGTATCATATTTTGTTTATTTTTATATACACGTTTGTCTTTAACTATGAGTCCCTTTCTGGGTCATACGTTGACCAGCATTTCTTTTATTAGTACATGTGTGTAGTGCACAATGTATCAATATTTTTAATAGCCTTCTGATATTTAGCAACTTTTCTGAACCAAGATTGCATCAATATTCATACGTAGTTTCTTTAAGCACTTCTATGGTCTCAAGTTTTACATTTAAATTCTGAATCCATGTGGAATTTATTTTGATCTATGATATAGAGTATGGTTCTAATTTTATTCATTCCAAATGTTAGTGGAAATCTGTCATTTTGGCTTCCCTCCATTTGGACACCTCCTTACCTGGGGAGATGCTGTAGGGATTTACCTCCCACCACAGTAGCTTAAGGTGTGCAGGTCTCCCCTTCCAACTTTAGCAATGAGGGTGCAGGCCTATGACCACAGCTCTGCCTTGGATGTGCCTGCCTAGGTCTCGAAATGGCAGGAGTGACAGAAATACAGACTGTTAGAGCTTAGTCACAGCAGCAGTAATGGGGCTACAGTCCCCAGCGGCAACAGCAGGATGGGAGCACCCACCGTCCTATTCCTGTGGCACAACGGAAGTTATGTTCCCAGCTCCTTAGCTTTCTTTGGTTCTTTTATCTTCTGAGGTTGGCTTTCCACTGCCTCTGAATTAATCCTTTTCCTGAAAATTCCTCTTCTGCTTAAACTTGCCAAGATTAGCTTCTGCTATTTTCACCTCAGCATGCCAGCTGATAAAGCCAGGTAGGTGCTGAATATCAACATTTCATAGGTAATTTACATTTTCCACACTGACAAGGGGCACTATTTTTCTATCCTATATATTACTTTCCTAAAATGTATGATTATGTCTTTTTTTAGACTTTACTTTTTTTTGGTCTGTCTCCATGATGATTCTACACTCAGTTCTGCAATTCTATATTATGCATTGCTATCTGTAGGATAATTTTTCTCTTCTCCTCAAAATTTTCTTATATTTTATCATGAATTTATCTTTCCATTTTGTTATTCATAGCACATGAAAAATAATAGCTTTTTAGAAACAGAAGTCATCTTACTATTTAATAACTGCTTTATTGAGATATAATTCATATAACATTAAGTTCAACCTTTTAAAGTATACAGTTAGCAGTATTCACAGATGTGTGTATCCATTACCACTATCTAATTCTAGAAGATTTTCATTACCACAAAAAGAAACTGCATACCCATTGACAACCACTTTCTATATTCTCTCCTTCCCCCAGGTAACCAGTAATCTATTTCCTGTCCCTATGTATTTACCTATTCTGCACATTTTATATAAATAGAATCATTCAGTTTGGGGCCATTGTGCTTCGCTTCTTCTATTCAGAAAAAAATCTGTTCAAGATGCACCAATGTGGTGGCATGTGTCAGAATTTCATTCATTTTTATGACTGAATGATAATATTCCATTGTATAACTATACCACATTTTATTGATCCAATCATCAAATGGTGGGCACTTGGGATATTTTCAATTTTGGACTATTTTGAGTATACCACCATGAACATTTGTGTGTAAGTTCGTGTACAGATGTTTGTTTTCAATTCTCTCAGCTATATATGTATGCAGAAGTACAGCTACTAGGTCATATGGTATTTCCATGCTAAACATTTTGAAGAACTGCCAAACTGTCTTCCAAAGCAGGTACACCATTTTACTTTCCTACCAGCACTATACGAAGATTTCTATTTTCCACATCTTTGTCAACACTTGTTATTGTGATTCTAGCCACCCCAGTGGGTGTGAAGTGGTATTTCATAGTATTTCTGGGTTGTTTTCCCAAATAACTAATGATGCTATACATCTTTTTCATGAGCTTTTTGGCCATTTATATATCTTTGTCTCTGCGAATGCAAATACATCTGTGCAAATCCTTTACCCATTTTTAAAAATTGAGTTTTTAAAAATTGCTGAGTTGTAAGAATTCTTCTCATCTCCTACATGCTACTCCTTTATCAGTATATGATTTACAAATATTCTCTCCAATTTTCATGAAAAGTCAGCTAACAATTCTATGGAATGAGGTCATTCCCAAACTCAAGTCTGCCTTTGAGTCAAAAATGGTAATGCTCTCGGGAGCATTACATTTGAAGAATGTATTAAAAACTGCAACTCTGACCACTCTTTTTATTGCACACTTACATATTAAAGAGGATGAAAACAAAAAATGCCACAAATATTCTCTCCTCATCTATGGATTGACTTTCTTAGTGGTATCCTTTGAAGTACAAGTTAATTCTGAATAAACCCAACTTACCTAACTTTTCTTTTGTCAGTTGTGCTTTTACTGTGATAGATAAACCACTGTCCAATCCAAGGTCATAATTTACACCTACACTTTCTTCTAAAAATTTCACAGTTTTCTAACATTATGTCTGTGATCCATTTTTCATTAATTCTTCTGTATAAAGTTGAGTCCAACTTCATTATTTGCATGTGAATACTGTTATCCTCTATCTCCATTTAATTGTCTTGGCAGACTTGCAGATCACATTCACATTTCCAGTAAAGGATATCTTCCATGAGTATTTAGGGGCTGGAGTCAAAGGAGTCCTTGGGAATATTTCAGAAATATCATAACTGATCCTCAGGACCATGTTAAAGGCTTGTTGCTACTGCCTGACGTATGCCCATTTGGGCGCTTTCAACTTGTGTTTTCTGACAGGACACATCTAAGATATGCCATGAAAAGGACACCTTGAAATTAATTGCTGCTACTAAGAACATCTTCATAACCTAAACAAGGCTGCTGTATTACAGTTTCTATCAAAAGTCAACCCTCCATTCGTGCTCTGGATCACATCTCTTCTCATTTTCTAAATGAGTGACTTGTGCCAATATCCGCTCTGTAAATTTCCCTTTGCACATACTTTTTCTAAAGCATATAAATACCTCTAGTATCAATTAACTTTGACAAAATAAAACAAGAATACTTTCCTTGATCCCACGTATCCCTGAGTTGCTGTACCATTTATCTCCTCCCTTTTGTAGCAAAACTTCCTGACAAAATTATCGCTGCTTCCATTGTTTTGTCTGCCATCCAATTCAATTCACTAAGAATTC